ACCCAGTGTCAAACGAGGGGCCCCAAATACTGAGAGAATGTGTTCCTGTTCGAATTAATTTGGCAAGGGAACGTGTTTCAGTAGGAAGTGAAGATGTGTGATGAGTGTTTACAGACTTCTGCTAAAATTTGTGATTTTGTTGGCCATTTTGAGGCAAAACAAAAAGTTTTTTTTACCAAAGAATGTGTGGAATCAGCTTAAATGCACAAAAGCAGTAGCCAAAGAAATTAAAACATGAAGAGGCTAAAAACTGGACGGCGTTCAACCACTGATTTTATGTTCAAATGGTATAAGCATTCAAGATAACTGGGACCCAATTAGCAACAGTTCTGCCAAATTCACCAATGGAATGGATTTTTTTTCCAGAAAAAATAACTATATGGGGACAGGGATGAGCAGAGCAACAGGGGTGCTTTGTCATGTCAGAAATGGAATCAACAGAACTGTCTTTTAAAGCCAACGCTTAACCAACGCCAAAAAGAGAAGGAGAGCAGTGTAGCCTTGACTTCTTTCCTTTCTGTTCCCTGATCTGTGATAGGAGTTAGATACATCAGCCTTTCACTGTCACATCCTGTGCTGTGGAGACAAAATAAAAAAAATAAAAAAATACAGACCTTTCTTTTGATGAAGTCAAACTTGGTGTCGCACTGCATACATCGAGCGCACTGAATGACAGGGGGAGAGAGGAAAAACAGGATGTTACACAACATGCTGAGCTGGGCAGATTCCCTTTAGCTGGATATCAACAGCTGTTCCATCAACATTAAACATATGCCTCAATGTTTGTTCAAAAACTCCTGTCATGCAACACTGCTTCCAGCATTTGACTGGCGTATTTTTGGTGTCCATTTAAATGTTAGCCTCAGAGAAGTTTTCAGCTCTTGGCATTTTTTAATACATTCTGTAAAAAAACTCACTTTTGTAAATACCTTTTTGGATTAGCTAGCTAAGCGCATTCAACAGTTTGCTGACTCGCTCCGGTCACGAAGTCATTAACCGTGTCTTGTGTGCAGTTTGAAGTTCAACAGAAGCCGAGTATGTGTGTGTGTGTGTGTGAGTGTGCCATGTCATTTTCAGCTTCAATTTCACGACACTGGTACGAGTACGCCGAAAGGCGTTGACTGGGTAGGAACCATAGCTAGTACAGCAGCTTCTTTTGTCAGTTAGCTCAATGTTGTCAGCTGATTGAGGACGCGACCGGTGGCTAACAAAGGAAACAATGGGGAGGTTTGCACTTTTAGGGGTCCCCCTCCAAGTCCACGTTCAGCTGTTAAAAACTGAGCGTTGACAGAGGAGACCGTTCGTGTTTCCAGCCTGACCATGGCCGCCCAAAACGCCCAGTACATGGACCAATTGCGGTGTCCAGAACTACGACGAGCTAACTGCAGCTAGGCGAAGAAAACCGGAAGTTGAGCCGTTTAACAGAGAAAATAAGGCAATTTTAGAGTTTGAGTTCTTAATGATGTAACCCCAACAAAGACAAGAGAGTCCGTTTATTTTTGTACCCATATACCAACAACATGCATCTGAAAGTGTTAAGTTGTATGCATGAGATTAACCAACAATAAGATTCATATTGATGCGACGTCAAGACGTATTCTGAAAACCCCAACCGGAAGCGCAGCGTTAATTAGCTAACTTGTGGTTAGTGTCCAAGAGTCTCCCCACTCACTTCTCGGTGTCAAATCCACCGCCTGTCTCACCTCTTTATCTGGGACCCACTGCGGCTCGTCAAGGGAGAACGGGCTGTTAAAAGCACCGTTTTCCGGGACCATTCGAAGGCCACTGGGGCTGCGAACAAGTTTCTTCCCATCAGGGACCGCGGACATCTTCCTGTGGTGGATGTTTCTGCGTTTCGTCTGCGAATCTTCTTCTTCGACCACAAACTCCCATCTGGACACGCCCCCAGAAATGACTGGCAGGGCGTTTAACAAATCAAAGCGACGATTTCAGATCACGTGACGCTTGTGAACGAAGTGGAGTAATTTGTTTTGTTTTTTTATCCGTTCCGCTGTAGGTGAAAATAAATTTACAGCAGAAATAAAGAGACGAATAAGATGTTATTATTTTTGTCATCTTAATTTGCAACTTAGTTAACTTTCCACAGGAGGTAACAGTTCTGAAGAAGAACAAAAATAAGCAGACATGTTGAATTAATGAACTTTCCAGCATTTTATTCATCAAATAAAGTTAAGATTTACATTATTCCAATGACCAAACACCACTTTAGCTCACATAAGGACTGTAATAGAAAAGTAACCTCCAAACAAACTGCAATTAATTAGAATGCAGTTAAGAATAAAAAAGAAATTAATGATAAATGGTTATTCTATATCTTCAGGAGATTCTTATTTATTCATTCTATCTAAAACGCATCTTTTCCTGCAGCATTCTGGAAAACGTAATCATTGCTTTCGTAAACCATAAATTAGTTGAGGACAGCCTGCACAGGAGAAGATGACATGTGGGCAAGCAGCGGTTACATGGACTAGTAGTATGACGCCAGTCTAAACCGGACACAGTTTATTGTACACTCACACATAGGATGGTTGTGTTTTATGTTCAGCGAGGAGGGTGGATGTTATAAAGCTATTCTGTGCAGTCTTTTTTGTGCATTTGACATTTTTTATGATTTAAATAGGATTTATTTTTGTTTACATGTCGATTTCATTAATGTGCAGATTGCATATTCAGCCTCTTGGAGACTTTGAGACAGATCTAGTACAGTTTGTTTCATGGAATTGAACAAAAAGGACTTTAGATTATTAAACCAGGCATGCTGAATGACAAAATTGGATATTTTTTACATTATTACATGTCCAGTATTTGGCAGGCCTGAGTTTACACTTCTTTTTTTTCCTCACATCAAGTGAGGAAATAGGGTCATCCATTTGTTCCAACCTTTTCATTTACTGTATGTCCTTCATTTGTCTTCGTCCTGAGAATACGCTTATGCCCGTCCACATGAACATTATACAAATGCATAGAGCAGAACAGAACAAAACAAATTCTTCTTTTTTACTTAAGGCATAAAAATGAAAACACAATGGGCCGAGACATAGGTTCACTGCTTAAACACGAATCGCACAAAATCAACCAAAAACTTTCCCGTGCTTCCAGAAATCCATCGGTTTACATTCAGGTCATCACAACTGTTCAACAAAAAGACAGTTCGGGGAGATGAAATGGACTTTCATTCCTTTACTGTGGAAAAAGCAACAAAAACTATTTTTTTTGCAATGATTTTGAAATAATAATAACACGATAAGATGAACAGTTTTTAAATGTATGCCATAATAGAATCTCAGCATTACAAACTTAAAATTAAGTGATAGGGCTATTTTCACAAAGTTTACTTACTTGGACAAGTGTTGTCACTCAAGAATATTTTTGCAAAACGACAAAAGCTTAAAATGCATCTCTCTATTCCAAACTCTGACATCAAGAGTTGAAATTTAACGTATCTAACAATCACAATCACTCTCAAATTCATTAACAAGTTTAATCAGTATTAACTACTTGGCTTGTAAATGTCAATACCACAGAAGTGAGTGTGTTATGTCCAAAAAACACCAGCTGTTTAAAATTTCAAAGCATGTAAAAACCCTTCATTTGTCTACAAATTGCGATGTAGAATTAGTTGCTTTTCAGTTTGAAATTGAACTCCAGATCAAGTCAAGGGCAAGTGTAAAACGTGTAAACTTTAGAAAAATTCAACAGTTTTTTGCAACTTCATTCATAATCAAACATCTTACAACATATACAAAACTACTTGGATAATGTTCACTCTGCTATTTGGGAGGGACGAAAAGAAAGAAACTGTTTCATTTAGCAGTTTATAACCCTTCTAAAGTGGTTAGTGGTCCACAATTGGAATTAATCCCACAAGTGGTGCTTCATTTTTACCAGTCCAGGTTATTAGGTGCTTGTTTTCCTTTCATCCTTTTTTTTTTTTGGACATCTTGCATTAGCTATGTTTAGATTTCACTTTTTTCTTTATGCCAAAATCCCGAATCTTTTCTGCACGTCAGTCTCTGTTGCCACATTCATTACAGCCATCAGTCAGTTATGTGCCTTATTACTTTTGGTCAAATCTTAAAGCAAGCAGACTGATCAACAGTCAATAAGCTCAAAGACACAAAAATAATTGGTGATTAAAGCAGCGCTGTTAAGAATGTAAAAGGTATAAAATTCTACAAATGAGATTTCTGTTCTATATCTTTTAAAAGAAAAACACTACAGCTGTAAGATCTCTGCAGCTTTATCTTTGTATTTAATAGTTTTGTTATTCAGATATACAGAATAAAAGGCTGAGATGAAAAATAGGCCTGTTTGGACACAGTAGAGATGATGATTTGTGCTGAAATTTGGAAATCACAATGCAAACACTTATTGTTTGTCCACTGAATGACAAAAAAAACTAAATTGATCTTATTGCTCACATTTGCCAAAACTAAGTGTTTACCTCTAAAAGGAAAAATGAACTGCCTATTTGAAGACTAATAACTTGTAACATGCTTGTCCACAAACAGGTGGTTGAACAAGATTTGTTTTAATGGCTTTTACTTAAGTTGTTGTTTTTATATTCCACTGTTAAACTGGCTTCACTTTGCGTTTAGATTTTTTTTTTAACCTTTGGACCTTTTTTCCTGCTCTACTTCTTTGGAATAGTGATTTATTTCTAAGAACTTTGACTTTTTATTTGTTATATTGGTATTACCTTTACTAAAATGTAAATCAACCTCCACTATTTATTTAACACGGATCCTGGTAACCCCTGTTAATGTTTGTACTTTTCCATAACATTTTTGTATATTTTTCTGTGTAAACGTAAAATATAGAGAAAATGGAAAAACAGGTCTGGTCTCACGCAAACAGTGACTCAGTAGCACTTGTTGAGCATTAATTAACAGGGCATCTGAATCAACACTTTCTAATTGCAATTCAAGCAAGTCAACCGTCTTTTGATAAACATGTTAAATATAACTTATTTTTCTAGTGACAGAAGTAGAAAACTAAGGATCTAATTTTTCATCCAAAATTGGAGGCCTGTTATCTGAGAAGCAGAACTTCCAGCTTCCGCATTAATTTTTAGGAAGGATTAACAATAATCATACATTGATAATATATAAATATATTTGTTGAACTACATACAGGTCGAAAAAGCCATTTGAACTTCACAAATTCTTTGAATATTCACTAAGTAACTGAATAATTAGCTATTTCTGGTTCAACTTCACTCACATGGCAAAGTTTGGTCATGAACTAACAGCAAGGACGGATGCTAATGGAAAATATCCAAATGTAAACGTAACTTTAGGCATGACGAGCCAAATCCAAAATCCACACGGGACCGGTGAATTTAAGGTGAAAGCAGCTGAGATGGGGAGAAAAAGACATTTTCCTCCACTCGTTTTTGGCTAGTGTCTGCAGAAACAACAGCTGTTTCAGTTCACTGGCTTTTAAATCCCAACTCTCTACAAAGGCCCGAACAAAGCCAGCGAGACATCGCTCACCGGTTTAATAGCCGTCACTCTAAAGCTTATTCACAGACGTTTTGAAGTCAGGAGTGTCCACATCTTGCCAAGATGGCGGAGCTGAACATTGACGACTGATTTATGGATGCATTTGAATGGGAGTTTATCTTAAATAGGGGGACGTTTTTGAGTCAGTTCCACACATAGCATCTCTATTATGAGCACACATGTTCACAAGGGATGAGGGATGAACGTATGACCCATTGGGAACGCACATTGGCATTTTTCCAGTTGAGAAAATCCCTGTTTGCATAAGCGATGCAGTGTCAAAATCCCTAGTTTAGTATATCACTTTTTTTCTCCTTAAACAAATTTAAGTTATATCCTCTCCACTTCTGTCTACACCAAGTAATACACAGACTACTCACAAGTAATTTACGTGACTACAGTCCAAGAAAAAACAGTCCCAGTAAAGCACTTCTGCTTTGAAACTCCACCAAACACCAAACACATTCTTTATGGAGTCTATAGTTCAAACAGATTATTCATACTTTTAGTACTGAGAGTCTTTGGACTTAAATATCAACAATTTGTCAAATTGCTCTGCACTGCAGAGCCGACTGCTTTGTCGGTCTGTGAGCACGGTACGATATAACTTACATGACAGAAGTCAACTCATAATGTCTCATCCGAGCAAATAATAACAAAAAAAAGCAAAAAAAAAAGGATTGTTCAAATTGCTGTTTACAGTCAGGTTACCCTAAATGTGACATCATTACATGGAAGATCGAGCAAAAAAAGGGCTAATCTGGGCTCATCTTTCTCTTCAGTCACAGGGTTTAACTGGACCAGCCTATGCGTCGGACATTTTTGCCCTCCGTCTTTACCTCCAATAAGAAAGTAAAATGTCAAATAGCTCTCTGTGAGGTCTGTGACTCAAAAGCAGCACACATTTACAGGCCATACACAAACCTATACAGAAAAAAAACATAACAGTAGACCTCCATACATTCGTCTTCCTCCTCAAGGTGATGCTGAGATCAAAAACAGAACATACAACAACTAAAAAACTCTTTAAACCTTCAAGTGCAACTACTATTTAAAAACTGTGCTGGTGTGTGAGGCTGTGGCCTAACATGGGAGAGGTGAAGCTTTCACAAACACTTATTTACAGCGGAGTCAGTCTGAGGGGTCGGAGGTCGGTCCGGTTTGGGTTTTGTTTTTTTCCTGAGACCCAGTCAGACACGCGTGGTCGTTCCCGTCAACGCGCCAGGTCCGTGTGGCTGGCACTCAGGTCCCGACTTTTCCTCAGACGATGATTTCGTTCCTGGAGAAACGGAGGAGAGGACATCAAATGATGAGGAACAACAACTGGCCTCGAATATTTCTCAAAAGACAAGCTTACGGTTACTGTAATGTTTAATTCGGGTGCAGAAAAACCAAAAGATATGGCTTTATACATAATGAGCTATGATATATTAAAGGAATGACAAGTTTAAAGCTTCTTATATTGATTTACTTAAAGATACATTTAAACAAGGTTCAGGCATTTAATAATCCTGAGCAGATGATCGTGTATCTGTTAAAACTTAATGATAGATCTGGATTGTTTTTCTCTATGTTTATTCATACAGGATATGTAGACAAAGTAGTTACTCACTAGCTAAACTTACAGCCCTGATCCTACAAAGTCCCTTTATATATGTCGACACACAGATCTGAGATTTGATTAATAGTCGGGATATCAGAAAATAATTATTTTCAAGACTTTTAGAAATAACTTTAACTCAACTTGAAATGGCATCAAATGGTCTTCTGCTTCATTACCACCAATATTGACCTTTACATTTGGTGTTGTTGTTGTTGTCTTTTACAGCTCAAATATAATTAAAAAAACACATTCTTTTCACATATTTGCAGTATTTACTGTGTGAAAGGTTGGAAATTAGGAGTTGTGTGAACATTTGACCGGCAGTTTGCATTTCCATTAATACAGTGGTTGAGGATGATAAAGAAAAGGCAGCACCAATTAAATATTTTAAATTAAGTTAACATTTAACAGAAATAACCCACACACAGAGGTGTCGCCTCTATAATCTGAATCGTCTACAGAAAACAAACTTTTGTTACTGTTAATATCCTTAAACAAATCAGTTATGGTTAGTAACAACATTGATGATGAAGTTAGTTATGCTCTCAATCGTGTGTTTAGTGATAATATTCTATCTGTGGTGAAGAATAAAATTGGATATAGTCTCAGAAAGGGTAGTATAAATGGATAATAAAATCTTATGTCAATTTAATATTAGCCATTAAACAAAACCTAAAAAAATATAAAAAGTGGGAGATTTAGCTTTTGGATGAAAAATAACAGTTCGTCTTGGATTTAAAAACAGTTGGTGTGTGCCTAAGAAGTGGCTGTAGGTAATATTGGTTCTAATAATACTACTCTGCAACACCCCGGTAACATGACCGGGTGTAAATAAGAGCACCTTAAAGAGTCAGAGTCTCTTAGAAGTAAAGATGGGCAGATATTCAGTCATCTTCAAATTATGGAGTAATTGCTGAATATCGCCCATTCTGATTAAATAAAAAGTTAGCGGCTGGATTTTGTCCATGTATCATGGCGTCCAAATAAAATTATGATAACTGAGCGCGACTATTTCATCGATCTTTACCAGTTTAATCGGAATAACCATGTTTTTGTTGTTATTTTTGCTCTATAGGGCATTCTTTGAAAGAAAGTGGAGGGTCCCCTACAGACAGGTTCACCCTCATGTTTCAACATTAGGGCTCCTTACTTGGTAGTTGTCACTCCCAGCCTTGTCCGGCACGTTAAGAACCCCCAGAGAGCTGGCTCGCTTCATGCTGCACCCGCATGCAAGGAGGCGGGGTGAGGGGTCGCAGGTCAAGCGGTCAAGGGGTGAAGGGATGGAGAGTCAGGTTGTGAGGATATGAGCTCAGTGGTGGTTAATGACATTCATGACATCGTCACACACAGGTTAGTTTGACACATGATGATTTGGTGCCACTTAGTAAAAATGGGATGACCAGTGGTCATTTTGTATATACCTTATTAAACCGTCTACAATCAGTTATATGAAGGAATTTTAGGTTACCAATGTGTAAACATTTTTTATCAGAATGTCTAGAAAACGATTAGGAACATTATATAAAAACAAATATCAAGGATGTGGCATCCATGATGAGTCCAATGCCGTGTTTACATATTCCAGTTATACCAATTAATGATAAAATTTTCTTCTTGTTTTTTTTTTCAATAATGCTGTACTTTGGTAAAAACACTCTGTCGGAAATATCCATTCTGAGAAGAAACATCACGTGCAAGTTAGGCACGCTTTATTCATAAATAGGCTGGAACCGGTGGATTAAAGATTATTTTCATTCCATTTCAGAGGAGAAATCTGCCAGTATAAGTAATTTTAATCCGTATATATGATCCAGCGCCTTAGCTGTCTATGAAGATTCTAATAAAAACTATATCTATGGACTCCAATAAGTATTCAAAATGTTTTCTTGAATAAATATGCACAATATTTTTTCTTCATGCCAAACCCTTCAAATATTGTTTAAACCCTAACTTGAGGACAGCGTCAAATCTGAGTCTCTGCTGCCTGTTTGTTCCCACAGTTCCCATCTGAAGAGTCTAAAACTGGCCTTCTTTGCTGGTGGGAAGATACAGTGGTGCTTAGAGGTTTGTGAACCAGTGAGAATGGTCTTTATTTCTGCATAAATATGAGTAGGTAAAGGGAACCCGGTTTTAAAAAAAACAACAGAAAGTTATACTTGGTTTTATGAACAGAAATAATCCAATAGTCCTAATTTATGAGTGACAAAGGTATGTGAACCTTTGCCCTCGGGATCGGGTGTGATCCCCTTTTTGTAGCGATACCTCCAACTATGCATTTCCAGTAACTGTTGATCAGTTCTGCTCACCGGCCTGAGGGAATTATAGCCCATTCCTTTGTTATAGAACAGCTTCAGGTGGGGGCAAAACAGGGCAAACCATGATACTACCACCACCCTGTTTCACAGATGTCATGCGGGAATGCAGTGTTTTCCTTTTTCTCCAAACGCTTTTTGTGACGGTTTTCATTTGAACCAGAATTCTTCCAACAGTATTCTCAAGACAGTTGGCTCATGAAAGTGAAATAAGAGAGGAAGTCAGTTAGAACGAGAACAAAATTGTGTCTCAGTTTAACTGGGTTCTCAGTATCTACTTTTATGACTAAGCATTAGGTCACACAACCTCTGCTTAGTTGAAATGTGCACCTTTAAGGACTCCACTTTTTTCCTCTTTTGGCCTACCAATGTTGAATGAAAAAAATAGTAAAAAAAAGAATAATATAAAAAAAAAAGAAAGCATGCTCAACTTATTCAAACCGATATTTGTGCAGATCTTTGCCTTTACCGATAGTCATGAGGACGATGGGGACAGGCACCATCGACCCTCATAAAAGACTGGAAAAAGCAGCACCAACAGGAAAATGAGACACCGGCGAGCACACAGATGAGGCATGCAAGTAGACATTCAGAAAGGGGGGGGGAAAGATTTATTCATAAATAAATGAAACTCAACACAGCATCAAATTCTACACAATAGCCATGCAGACATGTTTCATGTCAAAGTAAAACGGGAAAAAAAAAAAAAGTTAAAAGTTAAAAAATGGAAAATAAAAAATCCAGAGCTTTCTGAAATGTAGCAGTATTCCATCACACGGTCATAAAATTGCAATAAATAGATGTAATTATTAGTCATAAATGAGTCCAGCAGGCATAACAAGCATGAAGGCATCAAAAGCAGACTTTAGTAGTTTGTCTCATAGCAGAGCCTTTACCCCCCCCAACACAGCATGTGAGTAAAGGACTTAAAATCTTCATTTTTTCCACCCCCATTCCATCAGTTACATTTGGTTTTCTTTTGTTAACATGGGCTTCACCTCTAAAATAATCCACAATTTATTTATTTTCACCCCTCGCTATAGATCCAAAATCCCCAGGAGCTTTATTTCAGGAGCTCCGCTTTAAAGCCATAACTCAAACGTTAAATTAAGATATTTACTCCCCTTTTTTGTCAAATAAAAAAAACAAATCATTATTCCTTTTATATTGATTTATATTGATTTCTCTAAACAATTACACTTTGATTTAAAACAATACAGCTTACTTAAACAAATTTGTTCGACTGACAGAATACTGTTTTCTTTATAAAGTCATTTGTCATTCAGGAAAAATTGTAGGTATTCCAATTTCTCTGAGAATACTGCAGGTTTTTGTTCATAAAATCCCAACTTTGTAGAATTTTGTCCCTTGTTTCCACTTTTAGATGAGCCGTTTGTGAGGAAAAGAAGCAGGCTACAGTCTGTGTTTGTGCATATGTGTTACTGGTCCCTCGACTGTCCCCTGAAAAATAACCTTTTATAATGGCTGTGGTAAAGGAAGGGGGGTGAACAAATGAAATGGGGAGGCGGGGGAAAAAAAGTCATTTTTATGTGCAAACACAGCTTTAGAGTTCCACCACTTCACCACCAGCAAAGCAGAGCAAAATCCCTTCTTTTGGTTACGGTTAGTGCACCAACCGCCGAACAAGCTGAAAGGGCTTGGCTTTAATCCTCCGAGGCCCTTAGTTTAAAAAGAGGGTGTCACCAAGTGTCTGGGTGGGTTGTGGGCTGATAGTTACCCGGGGTTTTTGGGCTCACTGTCCCGTGGTGAGCCGCCGCCTTTCAGCTTGCGGACGAGTTTCTCGCTGCTGCGGCGGATGGAAGCTCGCAGTTTGCTGAATGAGCCGCTCCTCTTCAGGGATCCCGAGCCGTCCTGGTGGGACAGGTCACACGTTTTACACCCCGGGACATTCAATGCTGATGCAGTCATTATTAAATAAGAATACATGTGAGCAAAGGCACAGAGATCTCTGGCCTCTCTGCTACCGGATTCTTTTATCTTGGGGGGGTCAGTCTTCGGCTGAGGCCACATTTCTCATGCTTGACATAACTGGATTAATCAATGCAAAAGATGCTAGCAGGGCTACTGACATGGATTCATTTCAGTTTCACTGGCACACACTGGCAGATGTGCATAAACACGAGCAATCTCACAATGCAAGTAAGTAGAGTTCAGTTGGACACAGATTTACAAACTGGTTCCCGAATCTTTGCACCGAGTTTTACATTTCAGTTCAGAAATGGGGTGCTGCTGCTTTCTTACATCATAAAATGGACGAATAGTGGGTCATTTACTCTCAAATATATATAAAAATTAGGCATTTAAACGATACCATCAGCAAGCAAACTTAACTTTGGTATCCAATAGAGTTGCTTTTTCGAGGTTTAACTAGTTGTCGGATGAGGATCTGGGGGAATCTTTGTGTCTGTCTAGCAAAGCTTGACTTACCTTTACCTTTTCCTAATAATAACTCTGCTAGTACAGAGAGTGATAAAAACATCGGAGAACGGGGCAAAGACCTTGAATTTATCGCTTCCTACTAAAATGCATCTCATACAAGACAAACCCCTAAAAATTTGCTTTTAATTTCAAAAGGGGGGAAATTCAACCAAGGAAGCCTGCGAGGGCGCATCACAATTGTTTTGAATTATAAAAGATATGGTGGAAAAGAATAAAACTAGCTGTGTTTTAGGCAGCCAGGTATTGTGCGAAGCCTTTTTCATGAGAAACAGTTGACAAAAATTGCAATTTATTTCCTGGCAGCAACCATAAAACTTCTACTGATTGAATCATTGTTTGTTCGCTTTTGATGAGAAAACTTTCACACAATTCAAAGAATGTGCTGACTTCAGACTCTTTACTCACTGTGGATTTAGTCAAATTTCTTTTTCAATTATTTTTATTCAATCAAGACCTTCATCACTTGTTTGTCTTAAATATGTGGTGATATGCAATTTTTTTTAATGTTTTTTGTTTTGTTTTGTTTTGTTTTCAACACCGTTAGTGGATCTCCTGGGTTCCTGTTGGGCAGTAATTGGCTTTGTGTGTTGCTGCTGCTGAGCCGTGCTGAGGTTTAGAGCTCACTCAGTTATGAAGGAACACAAAAAAGGAAAGGGAAGACACAAAGAGGCGACAGGCACAGCTTGAGGTGAGCAGAGAGTTTAGCTTTTATTAGAAGTTAAGAAAGACATAACTGTAAGATGCACAAACCGGACAGGACACGGGAGATTAGTAGCAAGAGCTGAAAAACAGACTCACGAGGAGACTAAAGTCTAAATTCAAAACAGTGCTTCTTCACACCAAATGCACTTCACCCTCCACCACCACTTAACATCTATATACAGAGATGAACAGAAGGTAAACAGGCAGTGCGCACCCAGTGAAAGCAGCTTTAACAAAAAAAAAAAAGCGGCCATTTTTAAATCAACACAGTCTGACGTTTATTGAGAAATCATCGGGTCTACATTTACTTTCATCATGCATGAGTCCTGTGACCACCCCGGTGTCCTATTACTGATGCTACAACATAGTTCAAGTGACTACACTCTAATAGGAGCTGAGACCTACAGAGCTACAATCGACAGCGTTCCTCGTCATGCTGATGAGTGACGTGGATGGGTATTTACAGTGTGTTGAGTCACTAAGCGTGTGAGATGTTCCGATTCACCACGATAGATATCAAATGTTACTGCTGATTTAAAAACTACATTAATGAAAGGGGGATGAAAGCTTTCTGAACCCTCCGGGGTGACGGAGACAGAACATTTTCTTTGACCATCTCTGACCTGGAGATGAAAATGTTTTGTGTTCATAAGTGTAGGAGACTTGGTGCATAGGGGCTGGAATTAGCAGAGAGCTGTTGTGAGAACCCACATATTTTGTTTTTGTTTTTTTTAAATCAGTTTGACATTATCTCATATCAAATTATGCTTGTTCTGCCCTGGCCCTTGGACCTTTTGACATTCTCACTACACCAAATAGATCAAAATCCTCCTGTTCTGGTTAACATTGCCACCATTGCCGAAAGGCCTGATTTTACAATGTTGAATTTAAAACAGAAAAAAAGGTTTTTGATGAGCTGAAAGATAAACACAGCCATAGCATTATAGGGACCTAGCCAAACTGGGGGGGGGTTAAAGGTCAGTTTGAAAAACGGGGTGAGGAATATTTTGTTTTATGGTTATAGCGTCGACACCCTAACACAATTTCCCAAACATTATATCGAATTAGTCACAAAGCACAAGTTCGACACACTTGAAAATAGGAGAATGAGGGAAACAAGAGTAGTAGAATTAGGGAAAGAAGAACAGGAAGAAGGGAAAGAAGAAGAAGAAATCAAATCAAGAAGCTTTAGTTTTGTTGCCGAAAAGAAACACTTCATCAGTTCCAGAGCAGATGCACAGCGGAATGGGTTTAAGGGGGTCGTTTTAAGATGAAATGTTGTTCTGGCTTAACACGACATGAAGAATCCCAGCAGAGAAAGGACAGGGGGAGTCAGAGTCGAAGAGAACTGCAAAGCTGAAGGGGGTTGAGGCGAGGCATCCATCATGCAGAAGACAAGTTTTTAGAACCATAGCAAGGCATCTGGTTATGCCTGCCAGTCAGACGCAGCACGGAGAGGAGAGAGAGAAGGAAATATATACAGTGAAAAGAGAGAAAAAAAGACTGAGACAAAAATGTTTTTAGACACTCTGAAAGAGGCGGTTAGGGAGGTGGAGAGAGGAAAAAGAGGAAAGAAGCAAAAGCAGACAACAAAAACAGGTGGGATGTGGTTCTTATAACAGTCAGTGTCCAAATCCACAATTACACCAGTATCTAAGCACACAGTGAAATACTACATTAACATCTCTAGCCCACTGTGCTTAAAATCTGGGGCTGCTTTGTTGAACTAAATCTTTAAAACTAAGATGAAACTAATGGGAAACCAACTATTTGGCAAATAATAGACACAGCAGGACTGCTTTGGGTTGGGAATATAATTCATAAAAAGGTCTCAAGACTAAATATATTCAATTTCATTGGAAATGTCAACTGCAGAGCGCCAATCCGCTGCCAAAGCTAATGCAGTTTAGGCCACTGGGTGGCGCATTTCCCCACCCGTTTCATGCAGACGCTGTCTGAGTCGCAGTTAAATTGTACCAGGGATAGAAGGAAAGGAATGCATGAGAGCAGCCAGAAAAGAGAGAAAAGCTGTAGGCCATTTAGGAGTCCATGCTTTTTTCATCCTAATTAGGGCACCATTTCAAGTGGATGTGTCCAAACCTTTGATTGGTAGGGTTTTTTAGTTTTTAACGTTCATTAGTTCTGTCGTTTGAAGAGAAAAGGGCTCATTTATAACTATAGAGGCTGGTTTTAGAACAATTAATCTAATTGTTTTTCTCAATTGTATGTAAATTTTTACTTCTATCTTTAATTTGTCGGCTGCACAATGATCTCAGCCACACCTTTGATTTTACTCTGGCTGCAAACATGATGGACAAGCGTCAAAAACCAAGACAAAAAAAGTCCAAGTTGGCACGAGCATCACACAAATGAAAATGACAGACTAGCAGGGGGACATCACAAAAAAATACATACAGGTACATGCGTTACACAACAGACATAGATCATGAACATTAACACCGAAGGAGTACAGTACAGAGCCCCATGTTGAGTCAGATAGACCGATGAGTCAGACTTATTCAGGAGAGAAAAGGAGAGTGTGTTTTCAAAGCTGCCTGTGGAGAAAGCTGTAGTGGAAGTGATGATTTGTTTGACAAGTTCAAAAACCAATAAAGTAGTTTGACAACTAAAAGGGAGGCATTAGGGAGTAAACATACGGAGAAATGTCTTTAATCCACTTTATATCCTCTAAGTGGAGGGAGGTTTTAGCAGTCTATAATGGTACAGAACTACTAAAAAGAGTAATTATTTGAAAAAACACATAAAAAATAATGTCCATTTTCATACGGTGGAATATATATATTGTCCTTTAACACTATGCAAACACCTGCTGTGTCAGGTAAATGGATTTGAGCCATAAACATTAGAACTTTTTTGGCTGCTCTAGAGCAGCAGCACGACACAACTATTAGTCAGGCTGCAGAGGTCTTAAGAGTTTTGAACTGAAGTTTAAATGCTTAGGGTAGCGTTTGGACCACTTTTAGAAACAAATCTGCAGTAAATCAATATCCCTCCTCCCTTTTTGGTGTTTCTGGCTGTGTCTTAGTGCTGCTGTGACGCAAAACCTAAATAAGGATGTATTCATATTAAAAGGTCTTTCATGGGATCGATAACTATATTGGTCTTGCAGATCAAATGATATCTTAAAGATACTCCAATAAATAAATAGAAGGAAAAGGTCTTCCAACTGAAGTGCTTTCCGATCCATACAGTTTTATTTCATATTCAGGAGATCAGCTGGTAATTCTATAGAGAATGCTGACAGAATACTGCGTATGGATATTAGTGTGTCTCGCACTGAACCTTAGAGAGCCACAACCAGAGGTGCAGTAGGGAGTTGCTGATTGGTTGTTCAGGGCACCATGACTACTGTTGCTATGTGAGCTGACTCACTCTGCAGAAGCAGCAGCAGCAGCTTTTCAGAAATGAGGTATCAAACAGCCTCAAGTGGCCCGACATCTAGATGTGACTGCAGTCACTAGAAGCCGAGAAAATACTGACGATGCTGGGAAAAAAATTTCAGTTTATTAGGAAAAGAGGCTCTGAAGTGGGGCGGGTTTCAATGTGTGACCGTGTTAAGAGTTAGATGGAAAAGCAGAACTATGGAATTGTTACATAGTGAAAGGACAACACTGAGGGAAACTACAGCACCTGCAACAGTCAATCAGCATTATCAACAAAAACTGATTCCCCTGTTGTAGCTGATCTGACAGGGTAAATTTGATTTAATCATAAATAAAGGAGGAACTTGGCAGTTCATTTTAGAGTGGAAAAGCCTTTAAAAGTCAATTTAAAGCTTACAGAACCCTCAGACCTAAGAAACTTAAGCATTTCAACACGTTAGATGCTTCAAAAATTCATTTTGAAAGTTAGGATTAGAGAAAATTTGATCGGATTGATCTCGATTCATATCAAAGCTTTGGAAAATTCTGTAATTTTGTATTGTTATTTTTTAAATATGTGTTTTGAACTAAGGTAAATCTTACAAAGACTTATGAAATCTGTAACAGTGTTTGTTTTTTTAACTACGTTAGCAGCTGTGCATTATGCAAACACGTCTTTGTCCCTAATTAGAGCACTCTGAGAAAGGTGGGAAGGGCTGTGTACTGTACTTACCCCATTCCACTCCACGCTCATACTCACTTCCTCGCCACCGTCTGGCCCGCTCTCGTACTTCACTGTGTCGGAGGTCAGGCTTTCGCGGCTCCGTTGCTTCTCGCGGGCCTCGGGCTCACTCAGGACCTCGGCCACGCGCTGCTTGTGAACGTTGTCCAGGCCCTGGTTGGGCAACGTGCACACAGATGTCGGCAAGACAACAATTGGCGTCAACTCAGATTAAGCCCATTAAAACAGAGGCTGTGCCACCAGCAGCTTGAGCACACAGTAACACACTCACACACACACACACACACACACACACACACTGTGCAGCTGAAAGCAGCTAGTTACAATTCATCCAATCAATTATCGTTAAAGCCAGAGATGTGGACCACATGCTGCTGTGAACAGGCAGGCACTAACTCCTCACATCTGAGTCAGTACATTCAAATTTCAAGTTAGATTGTTCCTTATCTATAAAGCTAAAAAATGCCATCAAGCACTCGCAATACTCAGCACAATCTGATATGATAACAATATATTGTGATCTACGTCCTGGTCTGATACCTAAACAATGAATTATTCAGAGTGAGTGAAAAATTCCAACTGCTCAACAAAGTGAGAAACTGTTGCCGGAGTCATTTCCACCTTTACCAGATCCCAAGAAGATGGTCTTATCCTCACGTGTACTTATTTTAACATTCGGACATCCCATACAAAACTGTTTTGACAACCTATAACTATCGGAAGGTGATTTGCTTCCAACTTTAACGGCAGTGAATCTACAGTGCGGCAGATTCTGTGTTACTTTTATGATGCTTGACGTTAAATCCTAGAAGAAAGTCCTAATTCTTGTTAGAAGCAGATGAGTTCCACCCTCTGCCCCCACTTCCCCAGCAGGAGACCCCATTATGTCTTCTGAGTAAAACATCATCAGAGGCTGTTGAAAATTAAGCCTGAGGCTGCACAGCATCACAAGTTCATCGTTTTCTCCACAATTTTCCACTAAAAAGACCTATTTTTCAACTTATCTAATACTTCTAACTACTGTTAACCCTAAACTGTCCTGTTCCTTCTCAGTTTTGGCAAATTGTTATGTGCGACCACCTCCTGGGTGAGCAGAAAGGCTTGTGTTATCAGGTCAATCAGGGACCACACCTGCTTTCTGGAACGCATGGCTGCTTCCTCCAGAGTTTCAGCTGCCTCAAACTTGCCCTGCCGCCTGTAGAGGGCTCCCAGGTTCTTCAGGGTGGTTGTAACTGTGGGGCTGAAAAAATGAATAAGGACAAATGTCATCACAGAGAATCGGGGTTCACTCATTTACACATTTTTTTAGGTTGAAAGTTCAACTTTTTAATTTCTTTTATATTTATTCAAACACTCATAAACCACTTTATTTGGTACTCAATGCATGTATGAATTTAGAAATGGTCCCGGGAACTGGCTGAAGTTCCAAGCGAGCTTTAGAATGGGGGAGAAATGGGATTTAAGTGACTTTGATCGTGGCACAGTTGTAGGTGCCAGTCAGGCTGCTCTAATTATTTCAGAAACCCCTGATCTACTGGGATTTTCCTCCACAACCATCTCTATGATTTACAGAGAATGGTCTGAAAAATACAGAAAATATCCATTAAGTGACGCCTGTCTGGAAGAAAATGCCTTGTTGATGTGAGACGTCAGAGGAAAGTGGTCCAGGATGCTAGAAACGCCACATGTAAAAGTTCATTGTACAACAGTTTTTAAAAAACAATTCTACAAACACTAGGGAACTGCATTATTTTATAGAATGATCTGAAAACGTTTGATATCCTCTAGCTGCTTAGAGCATCATCAAAGTCTATTGTGAGAAAAAAAATAGACTGACCTGTCAACTTTACAGGCTTTGTACCAGCCTCCGTATTCTCCAAATGGTGAGCTGTCCTTTTGCTTTCCCTGTGAGACAAGGTATCTCATTATGAACCCAAGCTTTGAGAAGCACAACATTTTAAAACTTACAGACTAAATCAACCAAACCGTAGGAAATAACCACCCCCAAAAAAACTCCAGTTTACAAATTTGTTCATATGTAGGCTTTATTAATGCTATGACAGAGGTTTAAAGACATGTCAGGGCTCTTCCCTCTTATGAACTAAAACCATAGAAGGCATTCATCAGAAATTAATCTTATGTTATTAGTACTTATTAGGGGGAAAAATAGAAACCTTATAGCTTCAGAGAAATGAAAAAATAATACAAAAATATAGACTAACTGACAACTTTATAAAGGAAGGGTTCCTGACAGCTGCCGGTACTCACCTTGCTTTGCTCCTCCCTCTCCTCTGCATGCATCCAGATCGGCTTGTTCTCATCTGCAGGAAACAGCACGTCAGCACTCGCAAACCAAACTCAGATTACAAAAGTCATCCTTTGTCTGAAGCACTGCTTTCCTTATGGCTTGTCTCTGTTTGCCATTAATAAGCTCCCATATTTAAGGAGATGAAAGCTTAATTCAGTCTTAAGTCTTCATACGTCATCAATAATATCCTCATGTCAGTTCTAAGATTTTGGCAACTTCTTACCGTCAACGGAGCCAAACTCTCTCTCGTGAGCCCTGGTGAGGATTTCTTTATACAGAGTCTCAGCCTGCTTAAACTTGCCCTGCTTTAGGTAACATGACGCCTAAAGAACAAAGACGAACAACAGCATCAGTCGGCGTGACAAAAGAATTACAACACAGCAACAAACAGATGAGGGGCAGGTTTTTCCAGGCTTGGGCAGCCTTTTCAGTCAGATGAGGACAACACCTTTTCTCTCTCTTACCAGGTTGTTCTTGGTTTTGGCCACATTGGGGTCGTCGGGGCCCAGTTTGGTCTGGTAGATCTCCAGTGCTCTCATGTAATAATATTCGACCTCCTCGTACTTGCCCTGGTTTTGACACAGCAGGGCCAGGTTGTTCAACTGCTTGGCGACATCTGGGTGGTCCTTGCCCAGAACCTAGGACGGAAACCAGGAGGAGATGGGGGCGGGGGGGGGTTAAAACATCAAGTCATAGACAGTTGTTGTTGCAGACGGCAACCTGCGACCCTTACAGTCGGCAACATTCTGGGAGTTTAATGTGTCAATACCCACATGGTTTGCCCAACTGTCTAGCTTGTGATAAAAAATTATTCCATTATATTACAGTCAAAAGCTAACTGATTCAGATTGCAGGCAGGAGAGAAACGTCTGCCATTAAGCCCACTTTGGTGTTACATTTCGATGTGAAGTGGGTATTCAATCCGAGTTTGAACCTCAGCCAGATTCAAACTTGCCATGTTGCAACAAAAAATGTGCAATTATTACAGAATATGACACTATTCTCTTTTCATTGAGCCGGAAGAGGCAGAAACACCAAAGAAGGCATCTTTATGAGAACATGTTAGCATCAAAGTGGGTTTGACAACAGTGTAAGCTCACCCTGTGTGCTGATGAGGATTTGAAACCTCATCCCTGAGAGCTGTAAACGTGGGAGGGACGCTGAAGGATGGTTGGAAATGAGGTGAATAAACTTTTAGAGTTTTGTCTGAGTGTGACTCAGCAGCAGGCCTGAGCTGGCCGGAAAAGGAAGGTATGTGAGGGTCAAAGGGAAAAAGAGTTCTTGCTGTGGTCCTGCTCGTTCAAAGAAGAATCCCAGAAATAAAACAGTACTGGGTGTCAGGTTAAGCTGTAAATCCTGAAACAAGCAGCTTTTTGTTGGTCCTTTTGGGGACTATGTGGCTTCAGTTTATGGCAAGCATGTGGGAGGTCTGAATCCTCCTTATGGCCTATCTGCTTGTTGCAAAACCACAGCATCTCAGTGTGTGACCCACATAATGCTACAGAACTGTCAGAGGATTGTTACAAACAGAATTCACTCAGTCATGTCACATGACCCATCTGACAGCTTTCCTGGATTATTTGTTAGCTTGCAGAAGAGCTGCGGTGAGCCACTTGAAAGTGCACCATCACAGAGGACCCAATTGTGCTTATTGATGCTTTTAAACACCAAAAATGCGGGTGTCTGTTTTGGTTCCTGTACAGCTTTTAAGCAACACTGGCTGCATCTAAAATTAAGTCAAATTATCCTCCAAGTCAGAAAATGGCAACCTAAAACCCTCAAAGTGCCCTTTGAACCCATTTCCTAAAAGAAAAGAAAACCCTTGGAGTCTAAAATAAAATCTAAAATGAAAATAACACTACGCATCTCTTGTTTAAGTCGTAAATTAAAGGGAAAAAAGATAAGCATCCTTAATGTCCATTCCCAATCTATTCTGGTCCTTTATTAGACATAAACCCTACATCATCACTAAAAACTAGCTTAATATATTTTAATGGATCTGAACTACATAACATATCCAGCATCATCTTTGACAAAGAAGCGATGACATTCATCACCAAATATCCCCTTCATCCATTTACCCACGGTCCATGACAACTTCTCTTTAACCCGCTGTAGGCTTTATAGTTTGGTTAGATTTAAATCTTATTTTCTACAGCCAGTTTCTTACAATAAGTCACAATGACTCGAGTTTCTGTCCAAGTTTAGTTGTACATTTTCCATTTTCAGGCACACTGCTTTCACTGTTCTGTGTTGACATCTGTGCTTCCCCCATTTTGCAACCTTCCCATTCTGGTTGTGCTTGCTCCAAATTTTAGACACAGCAAACCGGAGACGACCACACTTCCCGTTTTATCATTCTTTCCATTGTTTCGACAGCTCTGTAGCTAGGGCAACGCTCCGTGGCAATCAGCTGAGATCAACATCTCATTGAATATAAGCACTCCCAGGCTAATCTGAATCCTTAAGTTGTGCAGGTATTTGTTTTCAAAAATGAAAATAACATGGTTATTCCACCCCCTCCCCCTCAAAATCAACAAAATACTACAATTTTAATACATATTTTTTGATGGAGGTGGGAGGATTAGAACAAATGATGATAAATTTCATAAGAGAAAATTTTTTTTTTCCAAGTTAAATGCTCAGTTTGTCGTTCAATTTTCACAGTGCCTGCCAGACTGTCAGGAAATTGATTTTCCTGAGCCTAAACAAAAATCTTTCTGATTCAAGCAGCTCTGCTACAGAAACACTACACGGCTGGGCCAGCACAGGACAACTCTGAAGCAAGTCAGGCAGCTTAAGCGAGAGCATTATCATCCCACTTTAAGTAGCATAAAAAATGAACTCCCTGAGCTTAAGTGAAGCTGACGTCTCATTTTTAGCCGCTCAGTGAAGGCATGATTTCTTTGAAGGGAAAAACTGAGCACCAACAACGAGGAATGTCCTGCTGCATAAGCTTTACATAAAAAGGAGTAGTGGATACAGAGACGGTCCCACGAGTCACTGCTCTTAAGAAGAGGAAGTGAAACTTGCCAAACGAAAGTTGGTATATACAGACATTAAAACTTTCAATGCATTTAGTTGGGCAAATTCAAACATACTTTAAGACTTACAAGAACAAAACATTTCCAAGCCTTCAGCCTCATCTAAAATACGGGGCGAACATTAGGAGAATAGAATATATGGTAATTAAGTTTGAATAAATCAATCTCACCAGCTAAAGGGCTGCTGATTATGGAGGAATTTTAGATTTTTTAAAAAGAAAAAAGGTAGACCAAGGATTAAACCAGAAACAAAAAAGAAATAAGAAAGTCTAATCACATCACGTCGATTTGCAGAGTTACAGGTTAAATACCTCTTTATATGCTGTTCCATTCTGTTCATGTAACAGAGAGTTGGACAGTGACTTTTTAACCAGCCAACAGAGCCTGACGTTGGGCATTGTCGACAGACTACCACTCAAAAGGATATCATCAGGCTGAGATATATATAGTTGTTGAGCTTGGACATGGGAGTGCACAGGGGCAAGACATGGTGAAATGATCTGAAGGTTTTCTTGAAGAGAGATGGAGCGCAGACGTATCCAAAGTTACAGCAACAGGATGTATTTAAAAGTGTCAGCAATTGCTTAAAAAGTTGCTGCACACTTTTGAGAAGTTAAACTCTTTGCATATTTAATCCCTTGCTTAATCTTTCCTATATAGTGTTTACTGAAGTACCTCTGCATCCAGTCATGGTGGACCCACCTTTTCTCTAATCTCCAGCGCTCTCTTGCATAGGGGCTCTGCTTCCTTGTACTTCCCTCTCTTCCCATACAGAACAGCCAGGTTATTTAGAGTGGCAGCGACCTAAGAGGAACACAAAAAGATTATCATCAAATGTTATTACAAGCCTTAAAACATCCTCAACCACGTTTGAAAGTGTGCGTAAATGAATGCACAGCAATGTGATATCGCTGATTCACGAAGAGGAAAAGGTTGTGCAGAATCAGGAAGTAATTATGGTGGGCTATAATTTGATACAGATCAGCGGAATGATGGATCTCTAAGAGGCACCGCGGTGGAGGGAGGCTGCGGAGGCCTCTGTAGGTCAGATCTGATCTCTGATTCACACCGTGTCCCTGTGGCCATGTGGGCAGAACAGGAAGGAAGAGGGGGTGAAGAGGAAGTTTGAAGGTGAGCAAGGAGACAAAAGTAGGCGAGCATCGATGAGCAGAAAAGAAAGGCAGAAAGTTATTTTTCACATGTCTGATCTGGAAATGAATAGGTCTTCATGTATTTTCACGATACCCAACAAGTGAACTGTTCTAAAACATTTTTAAAAACAGTTCATCAGTCAAGATTTTACACAACAAAGACTGAAAAAGGAAACAAATCCATTACAATCACAACTGACTTATTCAAATATTTGTAAGTAAAATGAAAACTGCACTGATCAGACTGTATTTGTCTTGCCGATATCTCTGTGGGTGCAATATCAAACATTTAGATCTTGGTGAAGAGAAAGTCAAGTAGATCAAAGTCGGTACGATTTAAAAGTAGGGTAACAACCAAGAAGCTGAGTCAGTGTCAGATGACGAATATATTCAATCAGATCTTTTCATGAATGATAAATCACAGAAAAACAAAATCACTTCCTTGAGGGAAAGAAACCTCCGGGCCTGGCAGACTGAAGGGATGAAAGAGGAGAGATGAGAGCTAACCTCAGTTTGACAAATTGGAGAGTGATGGCAGTCCATACAGTGGAGACATAAGCCTGCTGGGGTTAAAATAGTTAGTGGAGCTGCTTTAAGCCAGCGGTCACAAACAACTAATGGCAAACAACCCGAAAACAGCTCTGGATCAATTAATTATGACATCAAAACAGCCTTCGACAAACAGGGGCCACTTTAAGTGAAAAAAGTTCACATACAAATCATGTTTAGAAAACATAGTTCTTAGTTGGAGAAGAATGTGGTATCATTCTTTTTGATTATCTCCCAGTCAACCTCAGGAGTTTGGAATAACTTCATTGGCAAATGACTGTGACAACTATCCTTTGTTGGAAAAAGACCGTGAAATAGGAATGTCACAAACAACAGGGTGTACTTACAGCTGGATGGTCCCTGCCAAGGGTCTTCTCCCTGATTGCCAGAGCATCATTCAGCAGGTTAGCAGCCTCCTTGTATTTGTTCTGATCCCTGTCAGAAAGAAGAAAAAAAGGTTCAGACGCAACATCCAGACGAAGATGGACAGAACAATAGAAAAACTAACAAAGAGAAGGACTGCAAACTATGCCAACGTGACACTTGTAGCCCTTTGTCTTCAGTTGGCATGGTTGAATTTTTGTGCCTTGGTTCCCACAGTAAGCCGGTCCGGCCATGAAAAGTCAACACCGGCCTGCTTCTTTCAGGGTGCCCCAAATCACTCGGAGGGCGACTAATCTTTGCCTGTTTCGGGCTATGCTTGGCTTTGCCTTGCATAGACGGGCCCTCATTTGGAGGCCAGTCACACAACGCTCCGCATGCTGAAGGTGGCGAGGGACATGCCACAGTGTTGTAAGGTCAACGAAAAGACTAAACACACTGTCATGATCACAAGCCTATCTGCTGTAAAGGGAAAAACAGCGCTATGGTTACTTCAAGGTAAAAAATGTTCCTCTCAGTGCTATCTACTGAATGCAAAGAATGTATTCTTTAAGGTCCTGAGGGGGGGGGCTTGTAAAATCAGAGAAGGCAAATTTGTTACAGTGTTAAAAATACTTGATTCTGAACACATGAAGAGCGTCAGATGGACTAGCAAACTGCAGATATCCAGATTATACAAATAGTAGATAGCAAAATATGACTTGCATATAAAGCCTTGATTAAGAAACCAACATTCCAGACCGGGCTAGCTTACCTGTAAACAAGAGCTAATATATTAAGCATGGTGGCTACATCTGGGTGGTCGTGGCCAGAGGTTTTCTCCAAGTCTTCCAGGGCCTGTTTGCAGAGGGGCACGGCCACCTCGTACCTGCCCTGGGAGGCGTACTGGATCACCAGGTTGTGAAGAGTCCTCAGACGAGCCGGGATCTCATAGCCTCCCTGCTGGGCAGCGGCTGCCGCAGCACTGCCATGAGCTGGTTGGACTGGACACAAGACAAAAAACAAAACAATGCTAAACATAAGGACGTTGGGATCTACACATTCCGCTGAGGGCCACATTTGAGTTGTAGACTCTGAAGATGTGAGAATTCTGAAAGTATAAACCATCATTATCAATTTATTTGATTTTTTTTTTCTTCAAAACTTTCGTAAGTACTTTTAGACTGGAAAATATTTGAAACTTTTAAAACTCTTAATCAGCAGCATATTTGGTATTTTAAAGGGTTATTAATAAAAAAAAATCTGAGTCATTAGGACACTCTCTGGACCTCTTATGATATGTTCACTGACCCAAATCCTAGCTTGGACATTTGCCTTACTGTCACATTTATCACAGATACGTGAATGCTTTTTTTCTTCCGAATTCTTTTGTTGTTGTCATTTTATGGATTTATTTAAATTAGTGTGGGTTCTTGATAAAAGGGTTCCATGAGTCTGTCACAACCCTGAGGACACAAATTCCACAACGCTGCATCAAAGCAATACATCTATTTAGGCTGCTATGTTTAAAAAGAAATAAATGTCTGATTGAAAAAAGAAAATGCATGACCAAATTATCCATCCATCCATCCATTATCCACCGCTTATCCGAGGTCGGGTCGCGGGGGCAGCAGCCGGAGCAGGGAAACCCAGACTTCCCTCTCCCCGGCCACTTCAGCCAGCTCCTCCGGGGGGATCCCGAGGCGTTCCCAGGCCAGCCGGGACACATAGTCCCTCCAGCGGGTCCTGGGTCTTCCTCTGGGCCTTCTTCCGGTGGGACGAGCCCGGAACACCTCCCCAGGGAGGCGACCAGGAGGCATCCTAAACAGATGCCCGAGCCACCTCAACTGGCTCCTCTCCACGTGGAGGAGCAGCGGCTCTACTCCGAGCCCCTCCCGGATGGCCGAGCTTCTCACCCTATCTCTAAGGGAGAGCCCAGCCACCCTGCGGAGGAAACTCATTTCGGCCGCTTGTATCCGCGATCTCGTTCTTTCAGTCACTACCCAAAGTTCGTGACCATAGACAAGGGTGGGAACGTAGATCGACCGATAAATTGAGAGCTTCGCTTTTAGGCTCAGCTCTCTCTTCATCACGACAGACCGGTACAGCGCCCGCATTACTGCAGACGCCGCACCGATCCGCCTATCGATCTCACGCTCCCTACCCCCGTTCGCGAACAAGACCCCGAGATACTTGAACTCCTCCACTTGGGGGAGGACGTCCGCTCCGACCCGGAGAAGGCACTCTACCCTTTTCCGGTGAGAGACCATGGTCTCGGACTTGGAGGCACTGATCCTCATCCCAGCCGCTTCGCACTCGGCTGCGAACCGCTCCAGTGAGAGCTGTAGGTCCCGACTTGATGGAGCCAACAGGACCACATCATCTGCAAAAAGCAGAGATGCGATCCTAAGGCCACCAAGACTGACACCCTCAACACCTCGGCTGCACCTAGAAATCCTGTCCATAAAAGTTATGAACAGCACCGCAGACATAGGGCAACCTTGGCGGAGTCCAACTCCCACCGGAAACGGATCCGACTTACTACCGGCAATGCGAACCAGACTCTGACTCCGGTCGTACAGGGACCGAACAGCCCGTAACAAAGGGCCAGGTACCCCATACTCCCGGAGCACCCCCCACAGGATACCCCGAGGGACACGGTCGAACGCCTTCTCCAAGTCCACAAAACACATGTGGACTGGTTGGGCGAACTCCCATGCACCCTCCAGGACCCCGCTGAGGGTATAGAGCTGGTCCAGCGTTCCACGGCCAGGACGAAAACCACACTGTTCCTCCTCGATCCGAGACTCGACTATCCGACGGACCCTCCTCTCCAGAACCGCTGAATAGACTTTCCCAGGGAGGCTTAAGAGTGTGATCCCCCTGTAGTTGGAACACACCCTTCGGTCCCCCTTTTTAAATAGGGGGACCACCACCCCAGTCTGCCAATCCAGCGGGACTGCCCCTGATGTCCACGCGATGTTGCAGAGTCGCGTTAGCCAACACAGCCCCACAACATCCAAAGCCTTAAGGAACTCCGGGCGGATCTCATCCACCCCCGGAGCCCTGCCACCGCGGAGCTTTTTGACTACCTCGGTGACTTCAGCCCCGGAGATTAGAGATCCTAACTCCGGATCCCCAGGCTCTGCCCCTCCAAAGGAGGACACGCCAGTGGGATTGAGGAGGTCCTCGAAGTACTCCGCCCACCGACCCACAACGTCACGAGTTGAGGTCAACAGCACCCCATCCCCACTGTAAACAGTGTTGGTGGGGCACTGCTTCCCCCCCCCTGAGACGCCGGATGGTGGACCAGAATCGCCTCGAGGCCATACGGAAGTCTTTTTCCATGGCCTCCCCAAACTCCTCCCACGCCCGAGTTTTTGCCTCGGCGACCACCCGAGCCGCATGTCGCTTGGACTGCCGGTACCCATCGGCTGCCTCCGGAGTCCCACAGGCCAAAAAGGCCCGATAGGACTCCTTCTTCAGCCTGACGGCATCCCTCACCGCCAGTGTCCACCAGCGGGTTCGAGGGTTGCCGCCACGACAGGCACCGACAGCCCTGCGACCGCAGCTCCGGGAGGCCGCGTCATCGATGGAGGCACGGAACACGGCCCACTCGGACTCAATGTCCCCCGCCTCCCTCGGAACGTGCTTGAAGCTCTCCCGGAGGTGGGAGTTAAAGCTCCGCCTAACAGGGGACTCCGCCAGGCGCTCCCAGCAGACCCTCACAACACGTTTGGGCCTCCCGGGTCTCACCGGCATCCTCCCCCACCATCGGAGCCAACTCACCACCAGGTAGTGGTCAGTGGAAAGCTCCGCCCCCCTCTTGACCCGAGTGTCCAGAACATGCGGCCGCAGATCAGCTGAAACGACAACGAAGTCGATCATTGAACTGCGGCCTAGAGTGTCCTGGTGCCAGGTGCACATATGGACACTCTTATGCCTGAACATGGTGTTCGTTATGGACAATCCGTGCCGAGCACAGAAGTCCAAAAACAGAACACCGCTCGGGTTCAAGCTGGGGGGGCCATTCCTCCCAATCACGCCCCTCCAGGTCTCACTGTCGTTGCCCACGTGAGCGTTGAAGTCCCCCAGCAAAACGAGGGAGTCCCCAGGGGGGGCACCCTCCAGTACCCCCTCTAAGGACTCCAAAAAGGGTGGGTACTCTGTGCTGCCGCTAGGCGCATAGGCACAAACGACAGTCAGGACCCGTCCCCCCACCCGAAGGCGAAGGGATGCTACCCTCTCGCTCACCGGGGTAAACCCCAACGTACAGGCACCGAGATGGGGGGCAATGAGTATGCCCACTCCTGCTCGGCGCCTCTCACCGGGGGCAACTCCAGAGTAGCAGAGCGTCCAACCCCTCTCGAGAAGGCTGGTTCCAGAGCCAGAGCTGTGTGTCGAGGCGAGACCGACTATGTCCAGCCGGAATCTCTCCGCCTCGCACACCAGCTCAGGCTCCTTCCCCGCCAGAGAGGTGACGTTCCACGTCCCTAGAGCCAGCTTCTGCAGCCGGGGATCAGTCCGCCAAGGTCCCCGACTCCGGCTGCCGCCCAGGGCACAACGCACCCGACCCCTATGGCCCGTCCCATGGGTGGTGGGCCCATGGGACGGGGGACCCATGTTGCCTTTTCGGGCTGTGCCCGGCCGGGCCCCATGGGTGAAGGCCCGGCCACCAGGCGCTCGCCATCGTGCCCCGCCCCTGGGCCTGGCTCCAGGGGGGGGCCCCGGTGACCCGCGCCCGGGCGAGGGAACGTTGGATCCAATTTTGTTAGACATCATAGGGGTCTTCTTGGCTGCGCTTCGTCTGATCCCTCACCTAGGACCTGTTTGCCTTGGGTGACCCTACCAGGGGCTTGAAGCCCCGGACAACATAGCTCCTAGGATCACTGGGACACTCAAACCCCTCCACCACGATAAGGTGGCAGCCAGGGAGGGCCAAATAATTTGGGAGACCAAATTATTCTGGTCATATTTAAAAACAGCTCAGAGCACTGTAAAGGGGAATAATCTTGACTTTAAAATAGAGAAAAGATTCACATAGTCCTGCTTTGTTACTGGAATTAATCTATGCCCTTTGTTGCGTGATAAATTATATATATATATATATATATATATAAACTGCTTTAAAAATATTTTGCTGGAAAATATATTTTTGTGTTTATTTTTGTTTCATATTGAATTAAGTTTTTGTCAGACTTTCAATTGTCTTCTTCTGTTTTTTGTGTGTGTGAGTGTGTGGGTTTGTTTTGTGTAAATAACATATTTACAGTCCAGTTAGAAATATTTAATTCGGAGTTTCAATTTTATAATGATGTCAGAAAAAGAGCAACGTTTCAGACTAATGGTTATCTGAATCAATACACGGTAACTGGGTCAACAGCAACAACAGAGCCGGCTGTTAGAGTTTGTCCTACACAGAATCATTCAAACGTGAAAAAATGCCCTCATTCGGTGAGCACATGCCCAGCTAAGATGCCTCCTGTCTGCTAACGGTGTCAGGAATACATAACTTAAGATATGCAATCCGTTTCTCCGTCCATCTGCACGTACGCCTACAGGAATGTCAGCGAGAGGTCAGGAAGCCACCTGATCGGGCTTCTTATGAAACAGCAGACGCAGAATGAGAGATGCTCTGAGCAGAAGTCAGACACAGCCCAAAGGTATTCAGAACTACCATCAAACCAACAGCATGCCCCTGCTTACACTCAGTAAATGGAAGAAAACTACCCTTGCCAGTCGTTTCCAATAACAATAATAATTTTTTACAAAAACAAAATGCAGTAATATTTGTGGAATTCCAAAATAATTGAATCGCAAAGAGCTCAAAATAATCGCATCATATTGGGCAGATGTCAGCCAAAATGAGATTTAAAATTATCAAAAATCTAAAAGTCTCAAACTCTCCTGTTTTCTACTGCAGCTGGCAATTGTTCGGAGAATTTCTTTTGGGTTAGGGTTAGAAAAAATGACTACATAAAAGCCAAATTCTAGAAATGGTGCCATTATTAGCACAATTAATCATCGTCACAATTATTATCATGCTAATCCACAAACAGCCATATTTATCAGTGTTTATTGCAAATAGTGTTCTTAAACTTCCTATCCTAACCCTAACCCGTACCTCTACCTCCCCACAGCTCCTTCTGTAGCCCCTCTACCTCTATCTCTATCTCACCACTGACTCTGATCAGTGTTTCTGTTCTATATAGTTTATTGTCATTGTGATGAGAAATGTAATATTGTGTCTACTCTGTAAGTCGCTTTGGATAAAAGCGTCTGCCAAATGCATAAACATAAACATAAACATTAAACTACCGAATTTGAACTTTAAAATTAAACCACACCATAACCAAAGTTTGGGTGATGTACCTGTTCATAAAAGAGTCATAACATTGCTTTTTTTTGTCGCCCGTCTTTGTATTGTATCAATTATTCTCATATATATTTTTTGCAATTGGGGGAAAAAAAGAAAAAAGGAAAAAAAAACGCTGTAAATATTCAGTAATTTCTAAGATAGTTCAGCAACTTTGATTTAAACAAATCTGTAAGATGAAAATATTAGCACACAAATGTGAAAAGTGTGTGCACCAAGGGGTAATTCAAATAAAGGCAGAGATGTCATCGCTGTTCTCTTCATCCTGCTGACAGCATTTTACCAAAACCCCCAAAAGCTTTTAAGGCTGTCTAAATAAGCTGAGAGAGGATAGAATTCTCATCTTCCCCGTCACTAGCCTCGCATCTTCCAGGCGCACACACAGTCCATAGAGGATTAATGCCAGTGGAGGAGGAAGCGTCTGATGATTCCTTGTGTCTCCATAAACACCACACAATTTCCCCCCACTTTTTCACTGTACTCTGCTTTTCCCTCGCTCTCTTTGTTCACTCAGTGCATTTACACGAGGTGCTCCACAGCATTAAATTGGATATATATTTTGACTGACATTGATTTGATGTTATGAAATGGGGAAAGTTCAGATTAGATTCTCCGTTTGCAGGGAGACATACACGAAGAAAAGTCGCTGCCTTCTCCATGCTTTTTTAAAATTCTTGTCCTTTGTGCTGTGTTCTCAAACGCAGCTGCATGCCTGTAGACACCGAGGCTTAAGCAGGAAAATGTGGGCATGCTTGCAGTTTGTTTACGTTTGAATGAATGCCAGTGCAAAATAATTGCACTCACACCCTTTCCATCTTATTTTCCTAATAGCATTCTTTTTTTTCAGCGCTGCACAATTAGGAGCTTTTTAATTAGTCTTAGTCTAAGAAATACTGGTTATCTGATCATTTAAGGATTTTTTTATTGAGTTAATGATGTTCTATGTCAGTAGGATGAATTAAAAAGGAAAAATCTCTAAGCCACTATGATTTTAACAAACACCAATACCCAACCTGACATGACACATAACCTTTCCCTATTCTTTGAGAAGCGACACCCCATTTAACCAATCGATCTTTTAGTTTGCCAAACCAATTCCGTTCTGGCAGCTACACGCAATAAAACGGTCTGGTCAAGATTTAGCAGACCTGCAGCAACAAAAATAACAGAAAACTAATTTATTATGACAATTTTCCATCTGAACCACAAAGCCCTGTCATTTGAAAGTGTCCCAAAAACAACCAGGAGGCAGAAATTTGCGACCAAATAAATCCAAATAACAGTCACTATGGAGAATTTCACTCCAGCCGTATAAAAAAAAAAGTCCCATAAGTCTGTTTTATTTCCAAACCCAAACTGGATAAAAGGATTACAGAATAAAAGTAAATCATGCATTATTCTCTGAAGCTTTGTAAAACTGCACTTGTAGGAGTCTTACTTTTCCAAATACAAGGGATTCTTCTTGTTTATGATACTATTAAAAAGAGCCCATAAAATATTAAAGCTCAAGTCTGTCTACAAAACTTCAAATAAACACACATATGGTTCTATGTTAAATGAGGCTTTTAAAACCTTCGTAGTTCCCAAATATCAAGGCAATTCAATCTTCCCTTTCTTTTAATTTAAAACTTCTACATACTAGTGCTACAGCTGCTCGATAGGTCCACTGACTTGCCTGTGGCATAGAATAGAATAGTTTATTGATCCCACAGTGGGGGAATTTACTATTTATTTTATTATATTACAATTTTATAGTAGTCATAAGGTCTTAAATCAAGTAATGCAGAAACGTTACCAAAAAACTCTTGGGGTCTCCTTGACTGAAATCTAAAAAGGAGAGTTTCAGTGGGCCTCTGTGCAAGTCCCGCTGCTCCCTCCGGGATAAATAAAGTATTTTTTAATCGAATTGAATTGTAACATTCAAATTTTTATGGGGAATTTATTATACAAACAGGCACTTTCAACATTTTTCAAAAGATTGATCTGAAAAAATTTATGGTAGCTTATCATACTCCAGTTATTGTATCGGTTAAATCAGTTTTCTGTTATGAATGCTCAATTAGTGTAGAACTGGATACATTTTTTCTGCTATAAAATACCCCTTTTATATTACAGGGAACCAACAAAAGGCTAGAAACAAAAATGAATACAGGCATAAAACATGTCTCAAAATGATGTTGCTGCATTGCTATTTAGATTTGCTAAAGGTGTTGGCATCTCATCTCAATAGGTGCGCAAAAAGTAACACATTTTAGAAATGTAACCTTGTTATATGTAAGACAAGCTGTCACAGAGTGTGACAAGTGGGAAACAGCAGAATGTCTTCAACATTTACTTACAGACCACAAACTTCCCACTATGCATGACATGACATCACCACTGAGTAGGCCAGCGTGATACAATTTATAGCCAGTTTTGATTAAAAAAAATAAAAAATAGGGATCAAACCAGCACTAATATAGTGGAAGATGAGGTTTGTGTGTTTAATGGAACTCTGTCAAAGTGCCCAAATATTTAACAAAAATTTATCATTTAAGCCCTTTTATAACCTTAAACCTATAAGCCTATAATTACATTTCATATCTACTATAAATAAAAATAAATGTGCATAATTAGAAAGTCTTACTGCCAGGAGCCTGGTCATCCTGGTCATCTGGGAAGAGATCATCAAGAGTTTCTTTAGTGGAGTCAGAATCCTTTTCCTCCTGACAGATAGAGGAGGAAAGAGTTATTGTTTATATTGACAGCTTTTTGCCATATTAGCTTGCTGACAGTCTGAGAAATAATGGAGCAAGAATATTAACAAAAAAGTCTAAAGAATTTAAGGAATGAGGAGTTTCCCGAACCTAGTGGTTACCATATCAAGTCCATCCAGAAAGGACAACAGGATCGACAGCTCATTCAGATACATTAAACAAATGATCACACTGTAAATTCAGTCCCCAAAATGCAGTTGGGAGTCTCTTAGGCCCCCTTCCAAAGCTGTCATCCAACCAAAAAGAGAACAGGATTGTCAACTTATTTGCTGTAAACCTGACTTCAAACACACATCCCTAACTTGCTCTAAATACAGCAGGTTTGTATTTGCTCTAGTTTGTTTAAACTGAACAACAGATAATCCGATAAAGACACATGGATGAGCTCACTGATCAAACAGCTTGTATGAACTTTTTTTGCTGTTGGGCATTCCAAAACTAAGCAAAGCAACTTGTACTTGGTGGGTTTCAGAAGGCAACTCATGGTATTTTTCTTTTGAGAAACAAGTGGTAATATCACAAAAATGTATATAAAGGACTCGACATAACAGTTTCTATGGAAAACTTGTAGTAGCATGAGATTTCAGTTGTTTAGATTAATGGCATTAGGTGAAATCACTTTATATTTTTGGGGTTTTTTTATATTGTAGTCGAACCTCACCAAAGCCCCTTCAGAAACTGAGAGCCTTGAATAGGCTAGTCTCCTATCAATAATTTGGTTTAATGGTGCAAAACCAGTAGAAAGTGAATACACCTTACATACCACACATTTCTTTTCTGAGTTAATCAAAATGCTTTAGGTCAAGCATTTCAATAGATCTTTACCAATATGGTCCCATTCCGTTTCTATCTACCAATACATTAGACATGGCGATAAGGATAAGGTCTCACCGAGGGGGACAGGTCCTCATCATATTTTTTAAGTTGATTCATGAATTCCAAGTGTTTCTTCTCCTCTTCCAGCTGGGCCACAGACTGCTCACTTTTCTGCAGTTTCTGCTGCGTCCCGGCTAGCTCGTCCCTCAGCCACTGGTTCTCCTGGCAGAGCCGGCGTACCTGAGCCCGCAGCTTTTGTTTCTCAGACTCGACCGAGCTCAGGTGGCTCGACAGGGCCATCATCACCTGGGCAAACGGCGTTTGGGGGTTCAAAGAGAAATTGTTCATATCATACAATGAAAAGTTTTTTCAACTTAACCCATAAGAACCCAAGAACCCAGAGTAACGCAGGTGTGACAACCTATTTAAACTATAAAGCATTTATTAAAAATGGCCAAGGGAACTTCTGGAAATCACAAATTTTTCATATTTTGTTGTGGTACATGATTTTTTTTGTTATCTAATAAATGGGGTACATTTGGTCAGTTTTGTATTCCCTTTCATATCTCTTCAGGGAAAAATAGATTAGGGCTCTTATGGGTCAAAAATTACAAAGATACTATCCATTGAGTGGCACAGTGCAAGAACGATCAACAATTTACACCTCAAAGAACTTAAAATCAATGTGCTAAAGTTATAGAGAGGAAATCTGGGTAAAAGTATCTACTTTACAACATATACAGCGAGAGGGGAGTCAGGGAAATTTAATTGGATGAAGGGTTTACAGCTCACAGGTGTTAGGAATGTCTGAAAATAACTGTAAGCAAAAAGCTGGAGGTGTCAATTAACAGTCTGCATAGTATATATGAATCACATTCATAAGACAAATCCTAATAGGAGATGGAGAGGATAACCATCAGCGATGACTCATCGCTAACTCATACCTGGTGTTTGCCGGGGGAGCAACGACACGAGCGACTGTTAGCTTTTAAGTTGTGTCTGCAATTTGAACTTTCTACGTTTATCTTTTAATGCTTCGGCTCTGAGTTGTAAAAACTTGTTTTCATTCTTCTTTTAATGGAAGACATCTTTGTATCCTCTCTACCAATCCCACTATGGAGACTCTGTAAACTTTAGAAACCACCGACTTCAGATTACTTGAGTTAAACAACCTCTGAAAAAATCTCCTGATTTAAGGAGAAATACGACCAGTTCATTGGAAACCATCTTCTATTTCAACAGAGGTGTGCTTTCTTTTAGACTGAAAGCTCCTTTAAAGGCATTAACTTTACAGTGGCTCTTATGAGCGCCTGGCATCTCATGTGGGCTGTATACCCTTTACAATGTGGAGTGCACACTATAAAAACTTGGAACTTAGCAGCATTAGCTTTATATTACAACACTTCAACTCGTCACCCACCTACATTGGTTTTTGCAGAGGCTCTGCACAAAATAGTTATGGTAATGTCATCATCTGTTAAGTATCAGTTCGCCTATCAAGATATCACAGATTCACTGAGTAGGCCTAAATAAATAAAAATAAGGTGCTGTGGAATAGCCTAAGCAGTCATCCAGGTCAAAAAATATGTAAACACAAATGAGGAGTTTCAAATAATTGTTTTTTTTCATCCGCAGATGCCTGTAGAGACGGGCCTGCTCACCCACTCAAGCGTAAAACTTGACCCTCACACAGGATGCGCATCAGATTAAAAAATCTGGAGGTTTATGACGACTGAAAACAACTCCATAGCACCAAAAGCACTAATTATTTCTATGCCAATTCTGGCAATCTGCCGTGGGCATGAGCACAATGAATAACCAGCCAATAAATCAGTTGCAGACCCCAGAAGAAAGAAAAAAAACAGAACAGGAAAGAAGAAAGATTAAAAATATCTTTAAATGTACCTGAGCCTCACTCAGTCCAAGTTCCAGCATCTCTAGAGACTTGCGTATCATGTGGGACTTCTCTTCCACCAGGACACCCTCCTCATCCTGTTTGAGGCAGCGCAGCGTGCCCAGCAGGCCGTCCAGGATGGAGTGATGCTCCTGTTTCAGGGCCTCCAGCCCCTGGATCACCTGCTTGGTCCGGGAGATGATCTCCTCCTGGGACAGCTTCTCTCCCAGGTCCTCCTCCTCCTTCACGCACACCATAGTGGACATGTCCTCACGCATCCTGCAAGTTTTGATGGCGACGACACGGGAGAATTCCAAATCACACAGATGCATTGGTCTGTTCAAAAGCTCCAAAACTATACAAAATAAATCTGTCTGTTACAAACTGAGGACCAAATAAAGTCTCCAATGATGAAAACAGAAGAGTAATTCCAAAAGCTGGACAAACAGAAGCATTCTATAAGGCCAAACTTGTTGACATGAACATTGACTCATCTTGTGACTGCCACGCTTTTGCCCCAAGAGAACAAAACGCACTCGAAGGGAGAAAATGAATTAGTTTAATTTTATTGACCCAGTTTTAGACCATTCCTACTAATGTGAATCTTTTAAAGAGAAGCCAGGACCGTCGGGGATTGGCACCCTGCTTGGTAGAAAGGTGGCGCGCTGATTAAAAGACCAACAGTCGAATGTTTTGGTAATTAATGCAATCCTCAAATGGATTCTGATCTCACGGCAGGCCAACGGCCTTTTAAATGCCCCGTCAGTGATTCATCTCCCTTTCAATCAATACTTGGCGGCAGCTAAAGGAACAACACCAGCTGAGACAAAAGGTTACACCTCAAATGTCTAACTGGTTGCTACTGGGTGGCTCAGGATGTGAAAAAAAAAGTAAAAGTCACCAGTTAAGATTCTGTATGAGGGTTTGGGAAAGAGGGGTTTGCTTCAACTGGGACGTAACCGACAGGTTTGTGGTCTGTGAATCATATACAGTAAACAGATAACTGACAAGCATCGAGCAACTGAAAGAATCTGGATGACATCTTTACATTTCAAAAGGATGAATAGTGAGATATGGACAATCTTTAACAGTATCAGACTTTAACATCAACAGAAATCAACAAACATGAATCAGTTCATTCTAAATACAGGATAATGTCATGTTTACTATGATAGACACAGGACTTTTTTTTCTTTTTTTTTCACGAAATCCAACTCCAGTTTGTATTCATGGTAGCCGCTTTATCCAATTATCAGCTTCTTAGTGGTGATATAATGCTGTTGTAGAATACAATAAGATCCTGAATCTGCCTAGGTAATTAAAGATGTGTATTCTCAGGTGTAACAGGTCAAATGGACTCTCCTATTAAACATATTTACTCATTAATATTGGATTAACATTAACTCTAAGGCATAGCTACTTGACACACTTCCGTTGTACTCTGTCTGACTGCATGCATACTCTCTTGCTCTGTATTCATTGGACACATGTGTGTGTACACACACACACACACACACACACACTTAAGAGGATTATATGTGATCACTTCGGCAGCACTTGTAGTGAGCTACCTAATAAATCTCTGGAAGCACACTAGACAAACTCTGCACCGCATTCAGTTGGACACTGAAAGAAATTAACAGGGTTATTGTCATTTTACAGCTCGAGTCTGTGAAAATGCTGACATGAAGCTCCTGGGTGTGACTGAGCTTATATTAGGTCTGTTTTTTGATGGAAACATACAACCAGCTGGTACACCTTAGTATAAAAGCTGCTGTGGTACTACATCAAGACAGCAGTCTTGTCCTGAAGTCTTAGATTTCAGGTTTTAATTTGAGAATGGAGGAAAAAGAAAAAAAGAAAGACAGTAAGCTGACAACTGCCCTGAACAGACGGGGCTGGCTGAGGAGGGGCTGCAACCCCGATCATTCCATGTGACTCAGCAACCAGCCTGCAGCCTATCAGCGGAGCAGGAGGAGGGAAGCTGTCACTTTGCAGGGGGAGACGAAGAACTGCAGCGCCCGGTGATGAGGACAGTGAATTACCCAGGGTGGGGTTGTAATACACTTGAAATTATAGGGGGAAAAAGACAAAACTGTCCAGCTAACATTTACCAAAAGGCTCTCAGATCTAATGCAAATAAATTATCACTAATAAAATACGAATATATTGAGTTAGCTGATGCTTAAACTTTTAGAAAAATCTACCTTAAATAAAATAATACCATCAGAAGGCATAAACGTCAAATATCCATCCTCTTTCCAGTTTCTCAAGAGGGCAGACAACAGTAAATCCAATGCCTGTGGAGAGCTGGACCGATAGAAGTTAGCTACAAGCACATTAGAAAATCTACATTATTTAAGAATAGACCAAAACCACCAGAGGATTTATTCGTAAATCATTCTGTTGACTGAATAACAGAAAACAGGAAGCTGCTAAGTCACATCTACAAAATTATTCATTCACAAATCATTTAAGTTTTATGAAATTAACTCAAAATAAATAGTGATGATAAGCACTAATAAAAGAATAATGATAATAATAATGATAACAGTCATACTTATGTGGGTGGATTTGATCTTTTCTTACTGTAATGCCAAAAAAAGAGTTTAACAAAAATTGTACCTGCATGAATTCAGAGTAATTGGATGTTAAAAAGTAGTATCATGCTTGAACATTAGAAACTAGAAAACCAGAGAGCCCAACTGAAAACTATCATTTTAGACCTTGAAATGTAGAAGTGAAACTGAAAACACAGACTTTTCTTTCCTGTTCCTAATTATATTATTTCAGACGCCAAATGAACTGAGCCACAGGAAAAGAAAGAAAACCCTTTTCAGTGTCAACTTTAAATTTGGTCTGCTGCCTGGAACCCGAACACAGGTGTGGACGAAGCAGCCTTTAATATAAACAAGGTCAGGAAGTGATGCCAGATGTAGGAGGAAATGGAGAGAATAATGGTGGAATATGGTTAAGAGGGGTGGCGGGCTGCGTGTGGAACCCACAGGAAGTACTGTCTTTGGGCATGGTGCAGGAAGACGAAACAGGCAGCGGTCCGAAGAGCTGTCTTTGTCAGAAACGTTTGGGCCTCTAATACACCACAACAGTTAAGCAGAAAGTTTAACCTACTAATAATTGCCATTTTGTCTTGTATAATAACCTATTACCTTAGGTGAGAGTGCTCACAGCATTAGCCCAAGAAGGTGATCAGCACGAAACAATGTATGATATAAAAACAAAAGAATTTCCGATTAAATGAACTTTGTGTTTCCTGGTTGGAGAAACTAAATTTTCCTTGACTAATTTTCACCAAGCTGGGGTCTCTAACTTTCCATGTTCATGTTAAATAGAATTCTTCCTTGGATCTCAAGCAGTTACGGAAGCATCATGTGATATTAGCTGTGAGCTGAAGAGACTGAGAAAGGGGATAACAAAACGATCTGATCACATGAATCATAGCTGAAACAGGAAATGACAAGAGTGATTGGTAATAATCAGGAGCAGATTTGGTGAAATGTGTCAGAGATCTGGGAGAGTTAGAAAAAACTAAATGATTAAACTTTTTGTCCAACTGTATTTTCTGATAGTGTGATGTATAAATAGGGGCTTTCATCAATTAGCTAAAGATTAGCCAAAGTATCTTAAATGAAACTATCAACAGAGACAATCTTGCACTATTGACTTAAAGTGAACCATAACTTTTTAGTTTGTCAATATCAGAAGTGGACTGACAGAGCTTTGAGACAGTTAACTGCAGATAAATGAGCACAACTTGGCTGACTGTTAGGGATTTCCAGACTTGATATCTGTAGGCTAATCGCTTGTCTTGCTTTCAAACTGTTCTTCATTTAAAAGTCACTATTACTTTATCTTTGTAGTAATCTATCACAAGTTCAAAATATTTCACATTTTTATTAGATCTTAGTGCACAAGACATTTCTTGCCCACAAGGCTAAAAGTCAACAGACATTCTGAAGGTTTAGGACAGCCTTTAATTAATTTGAGAGTTTTAAGGTTAATCTTACATTCCCTGACAAAAAAGACAGGATTTTCTGCCCAGTTTTGACTTAAACACTTGATTCAGAAATAGATGTTCTGCATCTATTCTCTGTGGGTACTTCAGAGTAATGGTTATCTGCAGCAAGGAAGGTAGCATCTATCAACCCCGGTGGGAAATTTTCACATCGGTTTTCCAATCATGGCATCTGAATGGCTTGAATAACTCATTGAGACACCTTCAGCCATAGGAAATGGAGGATCATGTAGAGGTAGAAACTTTCCCATTACTGATAAAGGACAAAGCTGCAATATTCTTAGGATTATGGCAGACTCGTACAAATGATTAATACGGTTGTACAAATTAGCACACATAGATAGGGTCAGAGCTCATTAGCATCTCAAGTAAATTCACACATTCTGCAGGTAAATGCAACCAGATTCCCCAAAACTGCTCTCAATCATGTTTTTTTTTTTTCGTTTTACAGATGGCAAAAAAAAAATTAAAAAGAGAATGAACGGCAGCCTATTAAACCAAGGCCTGAGCCCACAGTCTCTTGTGAGGCTTCCGTTCACTATCAGATCCACATTTTTTTTCCTTTTCTTTTTTTAAGGGACAGTAGGAATCCGCCTCAGGCTAAATGATTGCAAGATACCTTTAAGGAAGAATGTATAAACAAAACCAGCTGCATTGGCATTGGTCCTCTGGAATGCTATTAATCTAGATAAGATGAGTTTAGGCATTCATGTGAGCATAAACCTCGTCTGATTTTTAGAAACAGCCAATGGATAATCTGACCCGAGTAAGGTTTCTGTCCATCAAAGCTTATTTGGTGTTGATGTTTTAACTGCAGCCATTTTCAGATCCTGAAATTTTAAAAAGAAAGAAATCACAGGACTTGCATTAACACAGGTTCATGATCCTCCATCTCTTAAAGCTCATATATCATTTCATTGAGCCATTTCCTGGTTAAAAAGCAGGACATTTCTTTTAATCAATCTCCAATCCTCCTTTACCTTAATGCCTAGGGTTTACACTACATCTTAAAGTCAAGTTTGTGCTCTTTGACATCCTACGCTTTAGACATTAGTTCACCAGTCTATTACCAATAATCTCATTCCAACTTTTATTCGTTTTTATATCATTGTGAAGATTTTAGTGGCCTTAACTGCTTTGGACAACCAGAACATAAACATCAGACTGTGGGCAATTACTTGAGAAGTTTAAGCAAATAAATAACCTAATTGATTATCATGTCTACCCCCTCTGAAAAAGATTGCCATACACCTAAAGACAAACATTAAGCAATAAAAAAAAGAATTTCCAACAGAAAGACAGCACTGATTTCATATTTCTTGACAAACTGAGCTTGACACAAATAACCTCCCATCCCAGGGGTAGCCGATGGTATTCACTGGAGGTAGGAGAACTGGAGGTTGCCATGAGTGCATCTTTGGGGGGGGATTAACGTCAAATTCCATAGAGAAGGGCAAGAAGAATCCTCAGGTGCCACTTGCGTGGAAGTAAAACTGCAAATGTTCACAACCACCCCCTTGAGTCTCTTTCTGTTTCTCAGCTGTGAGTACGACAATAAGATCTACTGTCTCTGAGAGGCTGTCTGCTCAACACAGGCAGCCTTCATCACACTTCTCTTGCTTTGAATATCAATGAGAGGACACAGCTACCATCACATGACAAAACAGGAGTCATCAACAAGATTCTCTGACTACAGTGGCCGGCAAAAAGCGTGTTCCATTCATATGAAATGTCCGGGTCCTTGCCCAAACTATCTCACTTTACAATCACAATCGGGTGAACTTGAAGAACCAGTTAGCCTTTACTTTCCTGTCAAACAACAGTGCTAAGTGCTAACACTTAATGACAGTTTGCGAACGCATGGCGTCTAATTCCTGCTATCAACGTAAACATGGACCACACAGCAGCAGGGTTCTTCTCTCAAACACGGCATAAACCAAATGGCAGAACTCCAGGCACCCAAATGCGTGTACACAGATAAAATAGTGACTGAATATACTCATTTTAACGAGGGAGTTACATAGCATTGGGCACAGTTCAAGAAATACACGGATCCTTTCTCACCGTTCCCTGGGACATTCGTTGTCAATGTACCTCGGCTGTAATGTTTCTTCTTTCTTTGTGAAGATGGGAGTTGTTGTTGTTGTTCCTTCTCCCGGTAACGTGTGCAAGTGCTTGAGAAAATTACACCTCGTCCCGATAAAAACGTCCACACTGTGCCCGTGTTTCTGGTGCTTGGCGCCGGACTTCACTGCATCAACCGCCGATAATTTTATACCCAGTTAGCTACATGCTAGCCAACAAGCGGCTATCTGTCAAAACACTGACTTTAGTCGGAGCCATTCGCAAGGCGCTTCTTCTCCGTTGGTTCCATGGCCGCCGTCGCAGCACCACGAAACTAACCTGCCAGCGGCGTCACAGAGTTTTAAACGTGTTCCCTTCTCTCTAAATGACAGCTCCCCTGCCCGCTGACTTACTGTGAAAATGGCGTTAACCTGCGCCCCCCCCCCCCTCCTCATCCGACACCACTGATGTCATCCTACCCGGCGGATTAAAGGGGAAGCTGCGGGTCTAGTTCGACAGCCAGATTTATTCACTGTAATATTTTAAAAACTAAAAACAAGAATTTACTGTGACGCAATACTTGCTGCAAGACTTTTACTTTAATTAAAAATGTAAAGCCTTTTTTAAATATAAAGCTTTCAAATGTGGTCATTAAAACATCAAAAGACCCAATGTTGTTGTCAAACCACTGCAATGCTAGCACAAATAAGGGGCTCGATAAGTTTAGCATAAAATTGAATAAATTGGGCGGAAAAACGAGGACAAAACGGCCACCGAAAGATAGAGTGGTGCATAGAAATGTGACACAATATCAGCTTGAGGACTAATTAGCTCAAAACAGAAAGAAAAAAAAACTTACATTTTCGGCAAAACGACTGATTTAAAAACGCAATTAAGAAAAAGATGCGTTTGAGTGTAAATGGGAGCTGTGAAATTATTCATTTTAAATGTTCGACCACTAAACATACCATAATTCACATATCCCTGGGCAACCCCGGACTCACCCGTAATCAGACGGTAAACTAAATATCCCCAGTTAACCAAACATACATGTTGTTTGTCTTTGGGAGGAAGCCGGAGAATAGAGATTGAAACCACAGGAAGAAAGCACAAACGCAAAACAACTGGAAGGCATCTGGCCAAGGTTTGATCCAGGAATTTTCAGCAGACACCAAGTGAGTTCAGAAGCACAACATAACTGAAAATGACCACACAAAGAATCCATAAAATGTTCAAAAGTATTACATAAAGTAAAGATACCAGCTACAAAAACCAAGGATTCATGCTCATACTCATAGGGACACTGTAGAATCATCAATTAATTTGAGACATA